CATACCATTGTAAAGCAATTATACTCCAATAAAGATGTTAAAAAAAAATCTACAAACAAGAAATGCTGGAGAGGGTGTGGAGAAAAAGGAACCCTCTTGCACTATTGGTGGGAACGTAAATTGATACAGCCACTATGGAGAACAGTATGGAGGTTCCTTAAAAAAACTAAAAATAGAACTATCATGTGACCCAGCAATCCCACTACTGGGCATATACCCTGAGAAAACCATAATTCAAAAAGAGCCATGTACCACAATGTTCACTGCAGCTCTATTTACAATAGCCAGGACACGGAAGCAACCTAAGTGTCCATCAACAGATGAATGGATAAAGAAAATGTGGCACATATAAACAACAGAATATTACTCAGCCATAAAAAGAAACGAAATTGAGTTATTTGTAGTGAAGTGGATGGACCTAGAATCTGTCATACAGAGTGAAGTCAGAAAAAGAAAAATACTGCATGCTATCACATATATATGCAATCTAAAAAAAAAAATGTTTATGAAGAACCTAGGGACAGGACAGGAATAAAGAAACAGATGTAGAGAATGGACTTGAGGACATGGGGAGGGAGAAGGGTAAGCTGGGACGAAGTGAGAGAGTGGCATGGACTTATATATACTACCAAATGTAAAACAGATAGCTAGTTGGAAGCAGCTGCATAACATAGGGAGATCAGCTTGGTGCTTTGTGACCACCTAGAGGGGTGGGATAGGGAGGGTGGGAGGGAGGGAGACACAAGAGGGAGGAGATATGGGAACGTATGTATATGTATAACTGATTCACTTTGTTATAAAACAGAAACTAACACACCATTGTAAAGTAATTATACTCCAATAAAGATGTTAAAAAGAAAAAGTGATTTAAAATAAAATTTTACGTCAGTCTATCAGAGATGGACTAAACATGAGGTCTATAGTGGTTTAACAATCTTTGAAATACTGTCATCCTAATTTTCCCCACAATATAAAAGTACTAGCTCCCCAAATAAAATACAATTTTGAATTCCACAAACTAAAGAGCAGCAAGAGCCTACAGCTTGCACAAAGCCCACAGAAACGGGCCAAGGGCAGCAAGGAGAATAGAAGGGCAAACATAAAAGAACACCAGGAAACAAAATGATCTGAAAATGTCAAAGCCACTATAAAACAATGACACTATTAAAAAACAAGTGTTGGGGCTTCCCTGGTGGCGCAGTGGTTGAGAGTCTGCCTGCCGATGCAGGGGACGCGGGTTCATGCCCCGGTCCGGGAAGATCCCACATGCCACGGAGTGGCTGGGCCCATGAGCCATGGCCGCTGAGCCTGCGCGTCCAGAGCCTTTACTCCACAACGGGAGAGGCCACAACAGAGAGAGGCCCGTGTACTGCAAAAAAAACCAAAAACAAAAACAAAAAACAAGTGTTTTAAACTTCCCTTTCTCCTCAGTGTCCTCAATGAATGCTCCTTCTATCTCTTCATCATATCTTAAACTTGGCTCTCCGCTATGATAGACTCTCTTCCTTTCAAGGCCCTGCAGAAGAGACCTCACTATTCTCTAACACTTCATATACCTCAATGAGAGCAAAGGCTTTTGCAACACACCACTCCTAGCACCTAATACCAATGAGTGAGTGAAAACACCTCTGACTGGGGAAGTATAGAGTGGGCTGTTTGCTCCACTTATAGTTCATCCTACTGTTAACAAGCTCTCCTCCTCTAAGATTGAAGCCATCTGCTTCCATCTATCAACTTTCTAGTCATTCTCACACATTCCCTGAAAACCTTGACCCTTAAATGTCAGTTTCACTTGCCATTCCATAAGTTAGGTGATTTCAAAATCTGGGAGGCCTGACTGAGCCAACACCTTTGTCCCATAATTCATTATCTCGATCAAATTCAAAGAACTTCACCTATATCCAATTTAAGCAACGAATTCCAGTAGCCACAGCCTGGATCAGTGGTGTGCATATCAAAATCCACTAGAGGGCTTCTTAAAACCCAGATGCCCCACCCCCAGAGTTTCTGGTTCACAAGATCTGGGATAGGGTCCCAAAACTTGCATTTGTAACAAGTTCGTAGGTGATGCTGCTGATCCTGACAACAACTTTAACAATGACAGGCCTATGTCTTTTCATTACCCAGAAATGGTTTACATCCAAAGCATCCTAACTCTGATAGCGCTTCTCCAGCTCAATCTTTGACCCTTTTAGACTTCACTCCCAATATACCTGCTATTTGATCACAGCCCTGCTCAAAATCTATCTACTTGTTTTTGGTCAATAATTCCTTTCATCCTGCATATCTGCTATTTTCAATGCTGACCAATTTCCTTAAGGCCCCAATCCACCCTCTGCCATCCTTACTCTCCACAGATCACCTCAACTCTTAACTAACAGAGAAAACAGAGGTCAGGAGGCAGGAACTACTTTATTTCCTCTGACACACCTTCACACTTCTCCATTTCAGCAACCAACGTCACCTCCATTCTAGCCTCAGAAAGATATTCCTTCTCCAGTCCAAGATGTTTCTAATTATTTTCTCAATCCCACACTCTACCATTGCCTCCAAATCTCGGCTTCATCTAATAGCACTTGTCATGCCTAGAATTTCAAACTCTCCCTCACTATTGGCAGAGCATATGTTTTCTTTAAAAAAATAAATTTATTTATTTATTTTTGGCTGCGTTGGGTCTTCGTTGCTGCGCATGGGCTTTCTCTAGCTGTGGTGAGCGGGGGCTACTCTTCATTGCAGTGCACGGGTTTCTCATTGTGGTGGCTTCTCTTGTTGCAGAGCACAGGCTCTAGGCGCGTGGGCTTCAGTAGTTGTGGCACGCGGGCTCAGTGGCTGTGGCACACAGGCTTAGTTGCTCTGCGGCATGTGGGATCTTCCTGGACCAAGGATCGAACCTGTGTCCCCTGCACTGGCAGGTGGATTCTTAACCACTGTGCCACCAGGGAAGTCCCTGTATTTTTAATTTTAATAGATGCTGACAGGCTGCTTTCCAAAAAGACTGTTACATCATGGCAGAACACTGGAAGTTTATTTTCAGAACAGGTTAAACCAAAGAGATTCTGGATCAGAAGTCTTAGCCCAGTTGAGAACAAAAGCACTATACTGAGAAAGCACTATACTGAGAAGAAACACTGAAACTCCAACCTCCTCTCCCTTGTTCAGCTCTGAACATTAGCAGACAGGCTTCCATTCCTCAAACAGGATACTCGGAAGATTCCTTCCTGGAAAACTGAACAATCCAAGAAACAGCTACAGATACTGAAAGCTGGAAATCCTCCAATGAAATGCTGGGTCCCTACCCAATCACCTTAAGGTGAGGATTACCTAAGGTAACCAACCACTCCGTTTTGCCTATCTGTTGTCATGGTTTTAGTACCGAAAGTCATGTGTCCTGGAACACCCCTCAGACTAGGATGGCTGGTCACCCTAGGCATACCTGTGGACAAGCCCCACCCCTGAATACAAGCTTCCAATAAATTTTTTACATCTTCCTCTTCAAAATGAAAGGGTAGTCAAGGATTATCAAACATTTGAGGAAAAACAAACACTAATAGAAACAGAAAAAGGAATGCAGCAAAAACTCTAACAATGCAGGAAGCCAAAAAAAAAGATAATGCACCCACAAAACACACGAAACAGAAGACTATAAAAAAGAAAGAACACAGAGCTCTGAGAACTGAAGTGAAGTTTCTGGCTTAAAAAGGTCCACCAAAATCCAATGTATGAAAAACAGCCATACCAAGGTGCCTGACTATAAAATTTCAGAATCTTAGAACAAAGAAAAGATCTAAAATATTTTTTTGCTGGGGGAGGGGGGGAGCTTCACATACAAAAGATAAAAAATCAGAATAATATCAAGACTTCTCAAAAACAGTCTGAACCCTGGAAAACAATGAACATGCCCTCTAAATTCCAAGGAAACCACGATCTCCAACCTAGAACTCTAAGACATTTTCTGACATGCTAGAACTGTGAAAGATCACTTCCCATGCACCTCTTCTCAGGAAGCTCCTAGAAGGTATGCTCCACCAAAAACAAGGGAATAAACCCAGAAAAAAAAAAAATACGGGATCCAGGAAACAAGGAATCCAACCAGGAGAAAAGCGAAAGGAGTCCCCAGGATGGCCTGTGTAAGAAGCCTAGAGAGCAACCAGTCTGGACTGGAGCCGAAGAACACAGAGTTCTGGGAGGGACAGCCCCCCAAAAACAAAACAAAACAAAACAGAAACCCTATTACTCAAAAAATGAGAAGTTTTTTTCACTTCTGGAGAATAATTTTAGGATAAATTACCAATTGAAACATAGAAAACTAAGCAAATAAAAGGGACAACCATTAATCCAGGGAAAACAAACAAAAATGTACAAGAAAAGAAACCATAATACCCCATAGGCCTAGCTGTGTACATGAGATGATATAATATGATACATATTAACAGTTTCATTTTCAACCTTTAGGCTGATATACATATATATATATATATATATATATACACACACACACACACACACATACTTTTCAAGCTCATATTTTTAAAAACTGCTTCGAATACCTACAATCAAGCATCTTCCCCTAACATTCTATTGATACTGATCCAGCATAAATCACAAATGACCCAGTTGACAAATCCCAGAATAAATAAATGTTCTACCATAATCTTATAATCATCTTGAAATGAGACAGTAAAAATTATTTTAAAAACTATCAAAAAATATTATTTGATAAAGTTCTAATTATTCTAAATATTGTTAAGAAATTTTAAAAAGCAGATTATAAAACTACTTATGGTATACATTGTGATTTAAAAAATGTATATAATATATATACTATTAATGCATAGATAACAAAGAAAACGTCCAGCCACTAAAGTATCAAGGGTGGTTGTTATCAATGGTTTGAGTGTATTTCCTTCTATAAGGATTTTTATATTTATCAAATTCTCTTAAAATCAGAAATAGCTACAAGTATCTGTGTACAGTTTTCTCATCCAGATTTTTAAACTTACCAGGAATAATGAAAATAAGCAGCTTAGGCCTGTTGGCAATTTGATCGCTAGTGAGGTCAGTCCAGGGCCCACACTTTAGAACCTGGGTTTCAATTCCACAACATAGAATGAATTCCTCGTGCACAGGAATTTCTTCCTTGATTTCTGAGTCCATTTCTAAATAAGGCGAGAAGAACAATATGAAGAGTCACTAAAATATAAAACTTTGAGCCAAAGACAATATTCGAGAATAAAAAAGACAAAATTCAATATACCTAGAAGGAAATGTCACAAAGAGATATGAGAGATATATGACTATTCAGCTATTCTAGATTACAGGATTGAAAAAAAAATTAAACCACAAGAGAAGAGAGAAAGAGGGGCATGTCTTTGGTGAAATTAAAGACTATAGAGGAGTGTGAATCAAAACAAAAATCCCACCACTCTCCTCTCCAGTCTAAATTGACAATATCCATGGCTAACTTCCACTTTCCCTCTGCTGGAATTCTTATATAGCTATATGCTCTACCAGTGAGAGAAGTCCCCCTACCTTCACCTGGTGAAAAAATACAGAGGCTATGGCTGCCCTTGTACTCTCTCAGATAGAACTGTAAAGAGGGACAGTGAACTCCTTGATGAGCTCTGAGTTTTCTCCTCTATTAATCCTCTCATCCCAAATTCTGTAAGTATATTTTTATACATTATTAAAGCATTATACCATTAAATTATGAAATGGATAGGTGGAAGAAAACAGAATATGAGATAACATCATGAACAATTTTCTGAATAATCAATATATGTGCAAAAATGCAGTCCCAAATTATTTATATTACCCCTCCTCCTCTGCCTTCCCTGTGTCTATCAATACGACCATGTCCCAAACTTTCATTGTTCTTTCTATCCTCCTCTTCAGCTATCCTCCTTTCATTCAGAGCCCTCTAGAGTCTAGATTATAAGTACCCCTAAAGCTTTTTCTCCTCTTTCCACTTTATGCCAAGCTTGTCCTCTGGTCTGTCTTGTCCCTGCATTTCCTCAGTGTCTTCATGCTTTTCTGCTCCTATACCTTTGCTAATGGTTTTACTCTGCCACCGCTTCTGGAATGCTTTCCCCCTTGTGCAACTTATCAATTTATTGCCTCCAAATTCATCCTTCATTGCCTTCTCTGGAAAAATGGATCTGGGTCTTTTAAATATTTTTCCTCTGCCAACTGATATGATGTTAACCTTGAAGAGTGTGCTGAAAGAGAGACCCTGCAGGAAGAAGGATTTCTCCCCTGGTTTCAATGTACCCTCTCAGAAGATTTCTGGAGCACTTGTCCCCTCACCCCCGTGCTCAGGCTGTGAGGTCTCTCTAGAGCAGTGACTTCCAACCAGAGACAATTTTGCTCCCAGAAGACATATGGCAATAAATAAAAATAGTTTTCAATGTCACAACTTGGTATCAGGGGAGGTATTACTACCAGCATCTAGTGAGTAGAGGCCAGGGATGCGGCTAAGCATCCTACACTGCACAGGACAGCGCCCACAACAAAGAATCACTAGCCCAAAAGGTCAACAGTGCCAAGGCTGGAAAAATATCTGGAATGAAAACTTTTCACTTAAAAAGTGGGGACTCCTTTCAAAATTATATTAAAAATATACTGACTGACTAAATAAATAAAAGTATCATCTCACCTTTTCTTGTGGATTGATTTTTAGTTCACTTATAAATGTCACTGTAGCCCAATCTTTGAAACTATCACAAAATACAGTATATTTATAAAGGTCTTATGACATTTGTAAAGTGTTAGAAACAATATTAGATTTAACTGTTATACACAGTATTAAATTAGAGCACTGACAGAGAGAACACTGGCTAAATTTAAGATCTGCACCACAAGAGAATCCGAAGTTATTAACTGTATTCAACTCATAAATACTTAACTTCAAAGTAAATGACATCTTAGGAGTTTGATTAGCCACAAAGTTAATGAGAATGCAAGTAGATATGAAACTTAAACAGTCTATGAAAATTAGAAAACAAAAAAGCAACAACTCTAAAGCACTTCAAGTAAAATACAGCTGAGAAACACTGTGTTAATGTATGTATTTGTAAAGCATCTTTTTATTTTACTTCACTCTTATGTTTCTGAATCTCACACAGCCAAATAAAAAAAGTAAAGAAAAGCTTTACTTTCTTCCTTACCTAAGAACCCAAGGTAATTCAATGCTGCCAACAGTAGGCAGGTTAAGACAGGACAATGTGTTCTAATATATATTATTAAAGGCTGATGGCCCCGCCTTCAGCTGCCACCTACAAGCAATTTTAATGATCAGTTTTGATAAGCAGCAAGACTTAGCCTGGATAAAAACCATGTGTACAGTGTAGATATAATCTGTACAACTTAGGCAATCCTTACTCAGCTAAGCATAGGTGTTCATCTGCTTATATTAATGGGTTTCTAACTTTTTTTAGAAAAGAATTTTTTTCCAATTAAATCTTATACAAACCTATACACAAAACTGAAAAGCAGCATTTGACCACTATAAATGAGTCCCTCACTCAGCTTTAGCATCCAAGTAATGTCTGCATTTTATTTTGGCTACTCAGAATTCTACTTTATCCATCATGTAAGAACTGCACATGATAAAAAAATTTTTTAAAGAACTCGTTGCAATGTCCAGGTAGTCTTCAATGAAACTACATTACATTTGAAAAAGAGATAGTAAGATACTTTTCTTTCAAAGTTAAAGCACAAACAAAATCTATAAATAACTTGTATTATTTATCATGTATATAAGGCAGATAAGAAGCTGCTGAAACTTCTTCAAATGACAAAAATTTTATATATATTATTATCAAATATAAATTGTGACCCGTGTTATTGTCCCACAGTTACACAAAGCAGAGCGTACACTCTGCATGTATTGCACTTTGACTGGCAATTAATTAGTGGTATTCCTGGGCATAGTACTAAACCTACTTGTAAAGTATTTAGTGACTAGACAAGTGAGCATTAAATTTTTAAAGGCCCAGGGAAGAGATACAAAATTTGTAATTGTTATCAAAACACAATATAAGAAGTACAAATACATACAAAATTGGCAGCGGAAGCTTTATTCCAAGTTTTTTTTTTTTTAATTAGGCTGGTAGCAAACTTTGACATGCTGGTGATCTCTGTAGTATATTAAATGTTTGGTATATAATAGAAGTGAGTCTAGGAGTTGTTTTAAATTAGAGAGGCTTTTTTAGTTTAAAATGTACATTAGGGCTTCCCTGGTGGCGCAGTGGTTGAGAGTCCGCCTGCCAATGCAGGCGACACGGGTTCGTGCCCGGGTCTGGGAAGATCCCACATGCCGCGGAGCGGCTGGGCCCGTGAGCCATGGCCACTGAGCCTGCGCGTCCGGAGCCTGTGCTCCGCAACGGGAGAGGCCACAACAGTGAGAGGACCGCGTACCGCAAAAAAAAAAAAAAAAAAAAAAAAACATTAAAATTAAGTTTGATCCTGAAGTGGGTAGGAAGGTGGGTGAAATAGGTGAAGGGGATTAAGAGGTACAAACCTCCGGTTATATAATAAATAAGTCACAGGGATGTAATATGCAGCATAAGAAATATGGTCAATAATATTGTAACAACATTGTATGGGGACATAAGTAAAAAGAGAAATAGACAAATCCACAAGCATAGTGAAAGATTCTAAGACACCTCTTAGAATGATAGAATGAGCACAGAAAAAATCAACAGAAATATATAAAGTTTGATTGACATAATTAATATTTATGTTAACATAATCAACATAACTGACATATATAGAACTCTACACCAAATAAGTGCAAAATGCATATCCTTTTCAAGTGTACATGGAACATTTACCAAAACTGACCACATACTTGGCCATACAGCAAGACTCAACAAATTTCAAAGAACTGAAATAATATAGAGGATGTTCTCTAACCACAGTGGAATTAAGCCAAAAATAAATAACAAAAATAATAAGAAAATCTGCCAATTTTTGGAAATTAAGCAATATACTTCTAAATAACTGATGAGGGAAAGAAGAAATCACAATGCAATTTAGAATAGAATAATGAAACAAATAATGAAATATGATATATCAAAATGTATAGGATACAGACAAAGGCATGAATGCAAGAAAATTTAAAGTCTTAAAATACTTTCTAAAATATTTTCTAAACTAGTAGGAAAAAAAGGCTGGAAATCAAGGATCTAACTATCTATCTTAGGGAGTTAGAAAAACTAAATGAATCCAAATAAATAAAATAGAAAAAGTAAAATAACAAAAAATAGAAATTAATGGGATAGGAAAAGAAAGTTTACATTTGAAAAGATTAACAAAGCCAAAAGTTTGCTCTTTGAAAAGACCTATAAATAAATAAACAAATCCCTGAGAAGACACATCAAGGAAAAGGGCACAAATAACCAATATAAGAAGTGAAGAGAAGATATCACTCCAGATTTTATGGACATTAAAAAGATAATAAAAGAATATTATGAGGAACTTTATGCCAATAAATTTGATGTGGGCAAATTCTGAAACAAACACAAAAAGGCTAGAAACATCTTTATAGTCCTATATCCAGCAGACATTGAATTCATAACTCCTAGTCCAGATGAGAGTCAACATTTAAGGAAGAAATAATACCAATCTTACAGAGTTGGCCAGAGAACAGAAAAAGAGTGCCCATTTATCAACTCATTTTATGAGGCCAGTAAACCCTTGGTATAATACCTGACAAGGGCATTATAAGAAAGGAAACATATGGGACAACCTCTCTCAGAAACATAGATGCAAAAACTCTATTCAAAATATTAGGAGACCAAATTCAGTGATACATAAAGGGTACACACGACAACCAAATTGTGTATAGATCAGAAATGCAAGGTTGTTTAAACATTCAAAATGTAATCAATGTAACACATTAGTAGAATAAAAGAGAAAGATATATAATCATCTCAACCAACAGAAAATACACTTGATAAAATACAATACAGTCACGAAAAACTCTTAAAAAAGAAGAAATAGAGGGATTATCTTTTACAGAATCTAAGAATCTATAAAAAACCTACAGCAAAAACAACAACAACAAAACCTACAGTAGATATTTTACTAAGGGTGAAATACTAAAGGTACCTCTGAGTTTGACATCAAGACAAGGAAGTCTGCTGTCAACACTTCT